GACGGGTGGGGAGGGAGGGAGGGTAACAGAGGGAGGCCAAGCGAGAGAGGAGAGGGATGTGAAAGCGCAGAGATGAGAGAGGCCGGTGGCCTTAAACCCCATTAAAATGTTTTCCGGTGGATGGCACGGGCGCGATCTTCCTCGTATTCCTTCTTGGAGACCCACATCTTCTTAAAGGTGTCGAGTGAAGCCAGGATAGATCCCCTATACATCGTAAATGGAAATCCCATATGTTAAACACCATAAAATATACCAAAACACTTTAAAAAAACATTCACTAACATTCAAAAGTTTGAGGTCTGTAAAAATGTTTACTTTTTTTTTTTTTTAAGAAATCTGTCATGCTCATCAAGACTGGATTTGTCTGATGAAAAATTAAGTAAAACATTAAAGAGGTCATATGATGCGATTTCAATTTTTCCTCTCTCTTTGGAGTGTTAGTGCGTTTTAATGTTTTTGTCTCGTCGCTCCGGCCGGGACACGGCATCAACAGTATGGTGAGGGGCGTAACATTTCCGACACACGCTTGAGGTATTCGGCCAATCACAACGCACTGGATAGCTGGCCAATCACAGCACACCTCGCTTTTCAGACTGATGAGCTTTGTAAAAATCGACGCGTTTCAAAAAGGCGGGGCATAGAGGAGAAACAATAATGTACAGTATGTGGAAAATAATGTGTTTTTTAAACTTTAAACCGCATAAACACATTTCATTACACCAAATACACAAAATAATGTTCTTTTTAGCAGCATCATATGACCCCTTTAATACTGTGAAATATTTAACATTTAAAATAACTTTATTTTTATATATTTTAAAATGTAATTTACTGTTGTGATATTTTTTCTTTTTATTGATTCATTTTCATTTTATTTCAGTTCATTTAAATTTTAGGGTCTTTTTTATTAGATTTTGTTTATTTTAAAAATTAATTTAAGTTTAATTTATTTTTATTTCCATTTTAGTTAGCAATTTTAGTGCTTCAACTTATTTCAGTCAGTTGTCAAGTCAACATTTCTAATTTTCGCTTAGTTTAAACTTCTAATATTTTTTATTGTTAAATATCTAAAAAATTTTTATTTATTGTTATTTATACAAATTTAATTCATTTAACAAATATGAACTTTAAAAGAACAGTATTTATTTTAAACATAAATCTTTTGTAGCATTATAAATGTCGTTACTATCACTATTGATCAATGTAATGCATCCTTGCTGGAAAAAGTAGTTAATTTCTTAAAGGTCCCATATTGTACACCTTTCTGGAGTTTTATTTTAGGTTTTGATGTCCTTAAGAATATATATTTGCGGTATAAGTACCAAAAACCATCTCAATATATTTATACAGCTCCTTCTTCAGGAGCTCTGCTGAGAACAGGTCGATTTTGGCCTGTCTAATTAATATTCATGAGCCTCTCTTCTGATTGGCCAGTTGTTTTCTGAGTGACGCACGGCCAGGCCAACCACAGGTAACTAGGGTCAGCCGACGTCACAGCGCTAGCTGGAGGCTAAGCAGGCTGTGTGAATTTTACTGTGGACTGACTGTTTTGAAACTTATATGGTTGTTACATAGCACCTAGACCTCAGTTATCATGAAAAAAGCCAGGAAATTTCAGTTTTGACAATATGGGACCTTTAAAGAAAAAAAAAAGGTAGAGTAACTGTTTTATGTTTTTATGTGCCTATATATACTTTGTTCTTACCCTATCCATGTTGAATAAAGTCTCTCCTGTGGTGCAGATATCTGAAACAACAAGAAAAATAAATATTTAAAAACATAGTTCTAACACCAAGCTAACATTTCTTAGCTGTGGCAGAGTCACCTTAATTTTAACGTCTTTGGGTGCAAGTTTCTTCACTTCGCTTAACAACCGGTCTCCAAAACCTGCGAGGAACAAACATAGAGTTTCAGTTCTGTCACTGATGGAGAACTGAAAGATGCTTTCGACTGATCTCTTCGCGCTACCTTTGAGGAGCGTTGAGCCGCCAGACAGCACTATGTTAGAGAAGAGCGTGCATCGCAGATCCATGTCTGACTTCTGAATGGCGAAGGCCAGCACCTCATGAATACCCTCGCTCTCGTCTCCAATCAGATCAGGCCTGAAGAGAAGCTCTGGAGCCCTGAACCGTGCTGGACCGATCTGCAGGAGATAAACAGCTGTGAGTAACACATCAAGTCAATGTGAAATTAAAATTGTCACTATTTACTTTCTTAATACACAATTTCGGCGCCATCACGAGCAAGTTATCAGTGCACTTTATTCCAAAAAGAAAAAAATAAGCCACGTTATGGAAGTTTCTGAATGCCATTTCATGTTGACTTCAGGAAGAACCTGAACTGAGCCTCCACTGAATGTCAATAAAACCAGGATATGATGTGTAATTTTATGACCATATGATCATACACTAACATACACACGCAATCTCATTCTTACATCTAGAGTGCTTCCGTCAGGGAGTGTGTATTGTGCTTTTTCAGTTTCTAGAGTTTCATCCTTCTGGGGGTTGAGGGAAAGGTAGCAGGCTCTCTGGAAAACAAAATAGCATTTTTTCATCGTTTCGTATCTAGATGATAATTTCCAACAAGAAGGAACTGCACAGAACATGTCGTATATATCCAGATGTGGAGTCCCGTACCTCCTTGATGGTGCGCACAACCTCAAACTCCGCAGAAGTGTGGAAATCGTAGCCTTCCTTGCGCAGGAGGAGGCGGAGGTATTGGGAGACGTCACGTCCGGCGATGTCTACGCGCATGATGGAATGTGGAATTGCGAATCCCTCATATATGGGGACAGCGTGTGTCACACCATCACCAGCGTCCAGGACCACACCTGTGGTTCGGCCTGTGGCGTATCTGTCAGACAGGAAACGTGTTTTGCATGAGAGAGGGAATAGGACGTGTGATATCAGGAATAATGAAATTCAAAGTGCTGAACTCACAAACTGAGCACGGCCTGCATGGAGATGAACAGGGCCGGCACGTTGAAGGTCTCAAAGAACACCTCTGCGGCCCGTTCACGGTTTTTACAGGGGTTCAGCGGTGCTTCGGTCAACAGTACAGGATGCTGCGAGATATATAAAAAATATGAATGGTTAAGGGATAGTTCACCCAAAAATGAAAGTTACCCCATGATTTACTCACCCTCAAGCCATCCTATGTGTATATGACTTTCTTCTTTCAGACAAATACAATCAGAGTTATACTAAAGGGGCGGTACAATGCTGTTTCATACATTCAGAGTTGTTTACAATGTTTAAGAGTTGGATTCTCATGCTAAGCATGGACAAAGTTTCAAAAAACAATTTGGACGTATGACGGAGTATTTCTGTGCCAAAAATCGTACTTCCGGGTTCGTACAAGTTTCGGAGAGTTATTTTTTTTCAATCGTGGCTCTTCATGACGTAGACAAGGGTGGAACTCCTTATATGGGCATTTCTCCCGGAAGATCGCGCCTGCACGCATTGACCAGAGTGAGAGCGAGATCGCGTCCATCAACGCGCTTCATCCAGCAGCAGCGCTGCACGGGACTTGCTCGGGAAGAATGTCTCCAAAGAAGTGTGTTTTTGGTTGTAAGGGAAAGATAACTTTGTTCAGCTTCCTAAAGAACCCAGCGTTATGTAAACAAAGCTCGGCTTTTTCCGAAGAGAATCGTAAAGCTGTATCTTTCTTTTACAAATCTGTATATGAAAATGTATATGAAGGATGCAATACTACTCTACAGGTACTCAAGATTAACATGAGATTGGGTGAAACAGTGTGCGTTATGCCCCCTTTATAAAGGATTAGTTCACTCCAGAATTAAAATTTCCTGATAATTTACTCACCCCCATGTCATCCAAGATGTTCATGTCTTTCTTTAGTCAAAAATAAATTAAGGTTTTTGAGGAAAACATTCCAGGATTTTTCTCCATATAGTGGACTTCAATGGGGACCAATGGGTTGAAGGTCCAAATTGTGGTTAAAAAGTATATAACTTTTTTTTTTTTTTTTTTAGAAAATGACCAATTGTTTCGCTAGATAAGACCCTTATTCCTCAGCTGGGATCGTGTAGAGCCCTGCATTGAAACTGTAATTTGGACCTTCAACCTGTTGGTCCCCGTTGAAGTCCACCATATGGAGAAAAATCCGGGAATGTTTTCCTCAAAAACCGTAATTTATTTTTGACTGAAGAAAGAAAGACATGAACATCTTGGATGACATCAGGGTGAGTAAATGATCAGGAATTTTTCATTCTGGAGTGAACTAATCCTTTTAAAAATGTCCTGGCTCTTCCAAGCTTTATAATGGCAGTGAATGGTGGTCGAGCTTTTGAAGCAAAATAAAGTGCATCCATCCATCATAAAAGTGCTCCACACGGCTCCGAAGGGTTAAAAATGGCCTTTCTGAAGTGAATCGATGCATTTGTGTATGAAAAATATCCATATTTAAATCTTTATAAACCGTAATCTCAAGCTTCCGCTATCTGTCGTACGCTCGTTCACGAGAGAGTGGCGTTCCAGCAGATGACGTCGGACGTAGGAATAGCGTAATAAAATAAAAATAAATCCTAATTCAAAATAAATAATTAATATATAAATATATTTGTACATATATTATATACTATTATTTCGAGAAAATATATAAAATTTAAATCCGTACCTCCTCTGAGAAGGTCTGCAGCTGTTCCTTTGAGTACACGTACTGCCAGATGCGCTCCATGTCATTCCAGTCCTTCACAATACCGTGTTCCATAGGATAGCGGACAGACAGCAGCCCCCTGTGCTCCTGCATATACCACAGAAATAAAGTATGCACTTGAGATGACCGAACACCTGAGAAGAGATGATGCCAACCTGCTGAACAACATACAACATACAAACATACAAAACTACCAAATTTTGCTACAAGTTTGATCGCAACACATAATCATTGCTGTTAATAGTGTTCACCGTCTGTTTGATTACATGACATTAACTAACTGCTCGATTTGTACCGTACATTTCTGCCATATGGACATCAACTTGAGATTTATTACTAAATATAATGTAGAAACGATTTGCATCGTGAAAAGCGCTATACAAATAAACTTGAATTGAACTGAATAGAACATATGATGTTATTACATTAGAATAACACAAGACAGTGTGAAATCAAAACTATTTGTCCAAGTTATAATAACTTTTCTTTTCTGACGACATACATAAAATATTATTAACCAATCACATCACGGGTTAAGTCAAGTCCCTGCCAATATTATTTCTGGCTGAATATTGTGGCAAGTTGACTGTGTTGTGAATGTCGTATTGTCTTTAAATATAATCTTCAATTAAAATAAAAAGGTTTACCTCAGCTTTGGGTCCAATGAAGAGATCGCCCTCAAGGGCACCAGCCATCACCCGAACATGCTTGGGTCGCCCCACACTAGAAATAAACCTTACCAGTTAATACCACATCACATTCACACTACATTACATTACTAAAATGTTTTTTTGTTTCTTTTTGTTTGTACAAACAAATGCCAGTATTTCTAAAAACATAATGCAGATAATATGACAAATTTGATGATGTATATGTATACAGTATATATGCATACTGTATATAGTTTCACACTACTGTTCAAAAGTTTGGGGTTGGTAAGATTTTGTAATGTTTCTGAAAGTCTCTTATTCTCTCCAAGGCTGCATTTCAGTGTCACATGATCCTTTCAAAATCATACTAAAATGCTGATTTATTGCTCAAACATTTTTACATATTATTATCAGTGTTAAAAACAGTTCATATTTTTGTGGAAATCGTGATAATTTTTTTCAGGATTCTTTGATATATAGAGACTTCAAATGAACAGCATTTATTTAAAATGAAACTCTTTTGTAACATTAGACATATGTTTACTGCCACTTTGATCACTTTTAATGCATCCTTGCTGAATATAGTTAGTAATAAATAAATAAATTCTTACTGAGCCCAAACTTTTGAAAGTTATCCTAATGCAGTAATATCAATTAAATGGTTACTTACTAATTTGGGAAACAGTATTTAGGGATCTGATCTCCAGCAAAGCCAGCCTTAATAACTCCAGACCCCTGTAAGAGAAATTGTAAGACAAGTTAGAAATTACAATACACATCACGCAATTTTGCAGCGAGGTAGTTCAAAGTAAACTTGAACTATAAAAGCTCAAACAGTGAATGTGTTGTAAAATGAATCATCTATTGATCTGATCCCTCCTTGTTTGTTCTTGAGTCATGAGACAGAGCTGGAGGGAGCTAAAAGAAACCAACCAGCTACAGCCTCCAGAAGTCACACTGTGAGAAAACACCATAATGTTTCACTAAACATCACTGACATTTACTAAGTTTTCATAATTTTAGTAACCTATCAAAGTGACACATTCAGGCTTTGAGATCTTCCACCTTCATTCAGATTACCGGTTCAGGTTTACTAGTTCTCCATCTCTAGCTTCAACCTTTTGGCTTTTATTAAAATGAATTTCTAACTAATTATTTCATACTAATTAATGTGGCTGTATAAGGCGGGGTCACAGCCAGACATCTTAGCAACAATAATAACTCCAGCTCAAATACAGGCTTGTATCGGACAGATACTCTCCGACAACCATGCATCTTGCAGTATTTCATTAATATGAACAACGTGGAATCATTTATTTAAAGTTTGAGTGATAAATTCAAAGCACCACTGAAATGAATTACAAATCAGTTTTATGCCACTGCATCAAACTGAGCATCTAATGCTTGAAGATATCGCAATTAAGACAGATACACTGTCGTGCTTTACATAATGAAGTCAATCGGACGTGAAACTGTGCACATTATTATTTAAATAAATAAAATCCTAAACACATCTTATTTAGCATTAGCCGGCTAGCGCAGATTTTGGCACAATAGCATTAGCTTTAGCCTTTTAGCACAGACTGGGTGTGGAGGGCAGCTGACATCATACTCACATTATCAATCACGACCGGCTGGTTTGCTATAATATCATACGACTCCATGTTCAGCCTGCGCTTGAGTGCGTTTTTCGGTCAACGTTTTCGCAAGAAGCTGCGTTTATGATTTTCTGTTCATGTAAATAAAAAATAACCGTCGCTGCTTGCCAGTATAACCACAGGCTGAGCGGTGATGCGTCAACCGAACCGCACTATGGAGGGAGCCAATCAAACCCACGTAACCAGGAGATGAGTGACAGCTCATTTAGCCAATACGAATACGTTTGGTTCGCAGGCGCAGTTTGACAACCTAAAAACAATTGTTTATTTATTTATTTTGTTTTTTAATTTTTTGAAAGTGTGTAATTTTCTCTGTTTATTTATATTTTATGTTAAAATATAATTGGAAATATATGTCTTTAATAAATTGTTTTTGATTAGAAGCAAAATTATGGAGAGGACACGACTGTAGTAGCAGAGTGGATGCTTTATTTTTATATTTCAAAATCATAGGAAAAACTGAATTTGCATATTTAACAATTATCAAATACACTTTTACTTTTTAGTTTTATGCATGTATGCTCTTATAACAAGTGAGACAATAAATAAATACGTGATTAAACACATCAAACGAAGCATTCTTGGACATTTTAGCAAGTTAGGGACATTTATTTTGACATACGGAAGTGGCTTATCCGGAAGTTGTTCTTCGTAAGGTTGTTGTTCTGTCCTCCGACAAAATTGAAAGTGTCAAATCAGCCGGAGATCTAAACTAAACGCGTATCAGAAACGTCTACATCTGCAAAACATCTTCAGGTGAGGATCTACATTTGAATTCGGTTAACAATGTTGCCTGAATGACAAGTTTCGGTATGTTTATATCTGTTCAAACGTAAATAATAATGAGGTTTGGGGTTGTTTAGTTAGTTTAATGCGAGTCATTCCGACTGAAAATATTGTCAAATCTATACATAATTTCAATTTCAATTTGTTAAGTTAGAAATGTTCTCTTACATGACATTCATACGTAACTTGAGCCTGATTAACTAATATTATAATATTATTATAACATTAACATTCATTGTGCATCTTTAATACAAAGACAGACGTTAGAAGAATAAATATATAATTATGTTATGTCTCATCTTATACTGTAGTAATACAAACCATTTTTAGTGATTTGTTTTGAAATCCCTGTAATATAATGGTGCTGATCACCATAATATAAGACCAAACATATTATGTATATTTATTTATTTTACTTACAGCGTAAGTGTTATTGAATGAACATCGTGATGTGATCTAGCAAATATTTTTGTTTTTAAGTATTGCATTCATGTCTTAATGGTCTGTATTAATAGGTGTTGCACACTGAGCCTGCTCTGGCTCACTCATGGTTGAGCTGGAGACCGTGGATCGAGCCTGACATAAGATGGCCTGTGTAGATGAACCTCCAGAGAAGTGAGTTAGCTGTGAATCACAGTACTAGTTAGTAGTACTCTTGGTTAAGTTCTCATTTAATCTGTTGTTCACCGACAGGCACTGCTGGGTGTGTTTTGCCACGGAGAAGGAGGATCGAGTTGCAGAATGGGTCAGCCCGTGCCGGTGTAAGGGCTGCACCAAGTGGATCCATCAGTCTTGCTTACAGCGATGGCTGGACGAAAAACAGAAGGGAAACAGTGGAGGAGCCGTCAGCTGCCCGCAATGTAGCACAGAATACCAGATCGTTTTCCCCAAAATAGGTGAGTATTTGCACGTCACCTTTTTTTGAAGTACCTTTTTCCACTTTTGTTGTGTATCTTGTCATGGATTCTCACTTTTTTTTTCTTTGCATATTTTAATGCACCAAATCAGTGCCTGTTTATTACATATTTTGGGTAATTTGCTCCTGATAAGAGTGCAGTCCTTTCAGCTCTGTTTTGCAGCAGTGTCGTTATTGTAACTAAAACTAAAACTATTACAGATAATTTATATTGACTGAAATAAAGTTGAAATAAATTAAAATACAAAACTTAGATAAAATCTTGGCAACTAACGGGAATAAAAAAAAGTGTACGTTAAAATGACTAAAAGTGCTAAAATTACTTAAAATAAAATAAATTAAAGCTCAATACAAAAACTAATAAAAAATGATTTTAGAAAATTAAATGAAAATGAAAAATGTTGCTTTGGCAAATAGCTCAATTAAATTGAAGTACTAAAATGATTAAAACTAAAACCAAAATAAAAATCAATTAAAACTAAATAGTCAAATTAAAAAGCAAAAACTAATAAAAATGCTTAAAAACCCTGAAAAAAATAGAAATGTTGCACTTGCAACTAACTGAAATGAAATAAGTGTAAGTTAAAGTACTAAAATGAGTAAAACTAAAATCGAAATAACCTAAAGCTTAATAAAAATAGAAAAAAACCAAAAACTAATAAATGCTTAAAAACTGAAATCATAGTAAGTAATAATAATATAAAAATACAGAAATATACTTTAAAAAAAACATGTAGATACACTTCTGAATAAAAATATAAAGAAACCAAAAGTGTATAAAAATGACAAAAGCACGTAACAAAACGACTAAAATCTAAACTAAAATATCAAAATTCTAAAAGCTAATTCAAAACTATTATATAATACTATAATAGTGTATAAATAATAATAAACACTGTTTTATAACATGATTTTGCACTTGTTTTGTAGCTAAACGTTACCATTTAAAATTATCATATGTTTTTGACAAATTAGCTCAGAAAATGTGACAAAGGTGCCCAGATTCTGCGGGGCCTTACTAATGCCGAATATTCTGACGTTCTGTTTGGCTGTTATTTGTTAATTTAATAGGGGAGTGTTAAGTGTGTCATTTTGTCTCTCCTCCAGGGCCTCTGGTGTACTTCCTTCAGCAAGTCGACAGAGCTCTGTCCAGGGCCAGTCCGTTCACCGCAGCTGGAGTCGTGGTGGGGACCGTCTATTGGTCGGCCGTTACTTACGGTGCCGTCACAGTTATGCAGGTGTGTTAAAGACAAGATGAGTGAAGCTCAGCTCTCCAGGGCTGTTTTGAACACGTTTTCTACTCTGTTTTCAGGTGGTGGGCCATAAGAAGGGTCTGGATGTGATGGAGCATGCGGATCCTCTCTTCCTGCTCATGGGTTTGCCCACCATCCCCGTCATGCTGGTACTGGGGAAGATGATTCGCTGGGAGGATTATGTTGTGCGGCTTTGGCAACGACACTCTTCTAAGCTTCAGATCTTCAGCGGGCTTGTACCTGGTATGTGGAAAACAGGGTTAAGGCCGGGACACACCAAGCCGACGGTCGGCCATTGATCAACGTCGGGCCGACGGCGAGCAACGCTGGGGCTAGTTTGTTTGGTGTGTTCCACTCGTCGGCTCTCGTCGGGCTCACGTCGGCGGCAGTTTGCCCGATTCGACATGTTGAATCGCCGTCGGGACCATCGGCGCGAGTGAGAGCTCTGATTGGATGTTCAGTTTAGCGAACGAGTCAGTGCCCAATATAGACAGTTAATTCCTCTCACGCATGCGCAGAACGCACGTGTTAGTTTGCCGTCGGCTGTAGTCTGTGCGGTGTGTTCGAGCGCAGCTTTTTGATCCGACGACAACACCGTCGGCTTTCGTCGCCGCTAGTCCTTTGAAGTCGGCTTGGTGTGTCCCGGCCTTTAAACTTAGCAATAGTTCATCCCAGTGTTGTTTTTGTTAACTAAATCTAAAACTATTAAAAATGTTTTTTGTTTTTTTTTCATTTTCATTAATTAATAAAAAATAATTTTTAATAAAATGTAAAATATTTTTTTTTTATAAAACTTAAAATAAAAAAACTGAACTATTAAACATTTTAATTATTAAAAATGTAAAAATATTGCCTTGCCAACTTACTGAAATAATTTAAAGTACTAAAATTACTTAAACTGAAATAATAATCTAAAGCTAAATATATATATATATATATATAAACTAATAATAACAAATGCATAATAAAAAATGGATACAACTTAAACTAAAATTAAAATAAAAACAAAAACTAATAAATAGAAGCTAATAAAAATGAAAAAAGCACACAACAATCACTAAAACTAATAAATATTCTAATGTTTATTATACTGTAATAGTATATAAATTATCCTAAAACTAAAATTAAAGCTAAATAAAAACTAATAAGAATGACAAAAGCACATAACAAAATGACTAAAATTAAAATGAAAACTAAAAATAAAGGCAAATTCATTGAAGTATTAAAATTACCAAAAATTAATATACAAATAAATTAAGCTAAATATAATTTTTTAAATAAAACAAAAACTAATGAAAATGACAAAAGCACATAACAAAATGACTAAAACTTCAACTAAAATTACAATGAAAACTGAAAAATTTAAAACAGAAGCTAATTTGTTGAAATACAAAAATCACTAAAAATAAAGTTAAATATAAATGTAAAAAATAATTTAAAAAATTAAAAAGCACATAAAAATGACTAAAATTACAATTAAAACTGATAATATAATATTAATATTGTTAAGTTAATTCTTTGAAGTACTAAAATGTTTAAAACTGAAATTAACATAAAGCTAAATATAACTGTTAAAAAAAGTTAAAATGACAATAGCACATGAATAAAGCTTAAATTTAAAATGAAAACTGAACTAATGCAAAATATTAATGCTGTTTCTTCCAAAAATGTAAATTCTGACATTATTTATTCACCGTCATTCCATTTGATATGTATAAATATGTGGTGGTGGATAGCTCATTTTTTGGGTAAACCGTTCCTTTAAACCGTTTTAGTATTTATGATTCTTTATCATAATCATACTGTAAGCTTATGCTAATAATAATAATAATAATAATATTAAAAAACATAATTTTTGAAGCAAAAAAATATAATTTGTTTGTGCAGGTATGGGCCATGCTCTACCCCGCATCCCAGTGGAGGGCAGTTACGGAGGAGACCATCTCTCTGTGTCTCGCACCCTTTGCGGCGCCCTCATCTTCCCTGTGGGACGCCTCCTGTTCCGCAGGGTCACGTCAAACCTGCAGCGCACCATCCTGGTGAGAGTCGAGAGTGGCGAGCGTCTACCATACAACCTGGAATTTCATTAGGAAGTGTGAATCCTAACCCACTTTTCCTCTTCTAGGGTGGCATTGCATTCGTGGTGATCAAGGGAGTGCTTAAAGTATATTTCAAACAGCAGCAGTACCTCATCCAGGCCAGCAGACACATCCTGAATTA